AGCCCCATATGACTATCCCCCTGAAAGCCCATCTGACTAACCCCCTGAAATCCCATCTGACTAATCTCCTGAAACTACATCTCAATAAATCCCTGAAACCCCATCTGACTAACCCTATGAAACCCCATCTGACTAACCCCTTGAATCTCCATCCGACTAACCCCTGAATCCCCATCTGACTAAGCCTCTGAAACTCATCTGACTAAGCCCCTGAAGCCCCATCTGACTATCCCCCTGAAAGCCCATCTGACTAACCCCCTGAAATCCCATCTGACTAATCTCCTGAAACCACATTTCAATAACCCCCCAAACCCCATCTGACTAACCCCCTCCAACTTCATTTGACTAAACCCTTGAGCCTCCTTCTGACATACCCACTGAAACCCTATTCAAATAACCCCCTGAAAGCCCATCTGACTAACCCCCTGAAACTCCTTCTGACTAACCCCCTAAAATCCTATCTGACTAACCCCCTGAAACCACATCTCAATAACTCTCTGAAACCCCATCTAACTGAACCCCTGAAACCCCATCTGACTAACCCTCTGAAACCTCATCTGACTGATACTCTGAAACCCCATCTGACTGTTTGAGACCACATCTAACTGTCTGAAACCACATCTAAGTCATCCCAAGACACCATCTGACTGACTCCTTGAAACAACACTCAAATAGCCCAATGAAACCCCATCCAACAAACCCCCTTTAACCCTATCCGACAAGCCACCTGAAACCTCATCTGACTCACCCCCTGAAACACCATCTAAATCACCCCTTGACACCCCATCTGACTAACCCCCCGAAACCTCATTTAACTAATCCCTGAAAATACATCTGACTAACCCCCTGAAACCTCATCTGACTAACGTCCTGAAAGGGTTAAAGATGAGTGTGTGCTACACAGAGATTTGGGAGCAGTCTGGATTCTCTGTCTGACTGAACTGTGTTTCCTGTTGTCTGTGTGCCTATGAAGGCACATTACACTCTCAAACACTTCACTCAGATTTACAAAAACTAGAGCAGCCTGCCCTGCCTCCAGCAGTCCAGTGGAGTATGTGTGTGCTCTTTTAGGTTGCATGAAAAAGGAAGACAGACAGCGTCCATTATTGGAACCGCTCACAAACAAGAACACAGACTGATCCTATGTCTGCAGACACACACGCAAACACACACATGCACTGTGTGACTGTGTCCCAAAGGACAAAGGATGAACAGAGAGAGGAGGAAGATGAGAGAAAGAGAGAGATAAAGGAAAAGAAAAGAACAGCAGATGAAAGAGGAGAGGAAGTGAGAGAGAGGGTGAGAGAGGGACGAAGAGAGTGGTAGAGAGAGAGAGAAGAAGGGGAGAGAGAGACTGTGGGAAAGGAATCCTGTTTCTGCCTTATAGACATTCTTGTTGCCATGGAGACCAGTACCAGAATCTTTCTCCCTTACTCTCGCTTACACACACACACACACACACACACACACACACTGCCCTTATCACTTCAGTGCATATACACTCCATCAGCTTCACACAGATGCAGTCTAGCATAGTGTAATAAACTATACACCAACACAAACACACTCGGACTTGCTACATTAAATGAAGCTTAAAATATATACACACATGCATACATGCAAGCACACCCGCCTGCTGTAAACCTGCAAGATAAATGAGGGAGGGGGTTGCGCTCTGTGCTGGAGTGTGATTGGTCAATGCCTCTGCCAATCATGGTAAGAGCTCTTTGATGTGTTAAGCTGTTCTTCAGAGCTGACTGCATGACAAAAACAACAAAAGCACCGCGCTAATCAAAGACTGCATTCCCTTATGTTAACGACATCTCCATAGCAACAGACCGGTAACTCAGCCCACACCGGCCGAGAGTTCTGCATTATAAGCAGTCGCTCACATACCAAGAACCTTCTACACCACAGCTTTGCGCCATCTAGAACCTTCTAAAAGACTGTTCAGCGCCACGTAAGACTTCCTCTACCACTTTTAACATCTATATGGGTATCTATATGAGTATACTCCATATCATCTAAAATCATACATACCACTGCTCTGCGCTATCTAGAACCTTCTGCAAGACTCTTCTGCAACACCTTGAACCTTCTTCAAGACCGTTCAACACCATCTAGAAATTGGTGTAGATTTTCTAGACAGAATACTACTCCATAACATCTAGAACCTTAACATATATCACTGTTCTGCACACAGGCTATACTTTGGTGGTGCTCCCAGGTATATGGCCACCTGCTAAAGTATATTTTGACCAGGAAAACTGCTGAGCATTAGCAATAGCTTAAATCTTAATGAATTACAGTCAGAAGGAATAGCTATATCTTAGACATTTAGATCATATCAATGGTTGATATTCGCAAAAGCTGTTACTCAAGCTTGTGCCTTTGTTTTAAAAATTTGTTTAACCCGTTTTGCCAGCGATTATGGTTTCTTCTTTCATTCATAAAAGACTTTGGGTCACTGTTATTCCCCTGCCAGAGCATATATAAAATGTCTGGAAGGCTGTATTGCAACCTACCGGAGGAAAAAAGCTCCACTACAGCCTACCAGCCATTTTTCATACGCTCTGGCAGGGGAATAACAGTGAACTGAAGTCTTTTATTACTAAGAGAAGAAACCATCATCGCTGGCAAAAGGGGTTAAACACATGTTGAAAACAAAGGCACAAGGCACTGAGCCGGGCAGCAGGTCAGACCATCTATTTTTATTTATATTTACAAAATACATCAAAGACACAAATTAAGCTTTCAAATAAAAGTCTTTTTGTAAGATTTATATGTAACTGACATACCTAATAAAAACTGTGTCTATTTGCAATACAATTTGTAATATTTTATTTTTATTTTTATTCAATCATTTAAAAATGTTACTATGAATTTTGTTAGTTATATATGCTTTAGAATCTGTGTCTTCCCCACCCTACTGCTCCTGGCCTCAACACCAAAGTACATCTCAAATGTGTGTGAAACTCTGAATACTACAGCGCACCCATGAAATTCTGTAACACTGTCCTGCTGTTCAAACATCATAAGTCACGAGTCGTCTTCAGAAGTTCTTTTAGAGACATTCTAGAACAAAACATGTTCCATGAGGTCATGATTGGAGGGAACTGACTGGACTAAACAGCCTTGAGCATTACACTGAGAATTACGCACACACACACACATACATTCACTCATATGACCGTGCAGCCTACAGAAAAACATCAAGCCTCTCCAGGGCAGGAGCACAACATAGCTCTGTACAAACAACACAGTCAAAGACTGACTTAAAAGAGTTTCATACCATTTAAATATACAGTACAGGCACAGATTACCTACCATTCATTGTTTCAAAGCAAATAATGTTTGCATTACAGTCAGCTTCATAAAAAAAGTCATAGCCTTAGCCATAACGTCCAATGTCATTAAGTTCTTTAAAAAATGTTTTTATCTGCATTTGCCATTGTTACTATTGCTCAATTACTCTGTTCCGTGTACCATTTTCGATTTTTATATGTCCAAAATTTTATCCATTCTAAATTATCTGAGTATTTTTTTTAAATCTCAAACAACTAGCATGGACTTTAAACACAGTCGACCCCAAAAACAACTACTCTGTTTTACCAGGTTTTGACCCAAAACCATATACACCACTTTAAAGAAATTTGTCAAAAAAAATTAAGTGTTTACATGTCCAAATCACCTTCAAAATTGGTTAAAAATGTTTTTTTTTTTTTACAGAAAAAGTACATCAGGTCGAAGCAATGACTTTTTTGAGAAAATAAGACGTATTACTTTGACACAATACATTAGATATTCAGGAAAATAAGTGTTTATGTTAACTTTCTGTTTTGAAACAGCTTCACTTTCACTGAGTGGCTGGTTGTTTAAGAACTGTGTGATTTTGAACTCGTGGTGAAGGTAACATCTTATCTCAGATATGAGTAGTGCATCAAAGCATGTCTATGACGCTTCTACAACAGAAGCCTCAGCATGCCTGAAGTAACAAGTATCTTTAGTAATGCAGGGTTTGCACAGCTAAAGGACTTTCAACATCTGCTTTTAATAAATGTTTGGAAAGAAAACTGCCAAATCATTATTTTAGCAAAGCCTGTTCTGGCAAAAGATTAGAATACAGCAGTTTAAAACACTGTTTCACAAAAACTAAAAGTTGTTTTATTTTGTTTCATAAAATGTGCTTTGTCACATGGCAGGCGTCACAATTTTTTTCCATATATTTAAATGTATTCAAAAACTTTCTGGCAACAAACAATAACAGTCATGTTAGTGCCAAAAGAGAGACAAGCTTTTAATAGGCTTTGAGTATCATACAGCCAGTATTTTCTACCAGCCTTACTAAATAGTACTAGGTGCTTTATTATAATAATATCCTCCCAGTATTCTTTGCTTTGAGAGAGAAACACATATAAATGCATATGTGATGAGTCAAAAGTGCAAAAGAGCAGCAACCGCTCCTTTCATTTTATTATGATGGCTACAGGGGCCACTGCAGCTATTAAGTAAATCATGACAAACATTTTTACCAGCAAAATATGTGCAACAGGGAAAAACGTTAGTAAACCTGCCCCACGGTGCATTTTAGTAACTGATTTTTCCCCATGTCAAAAAACATCCACTTCTTTCTGTGTGTGTTTGAATCTATACATTAACAACAATGAAACAAAAACATAAGAAAGGTGAGAAACAATGTGAGGAGAAGAAGAGAACAGAAAAAGTTTACATAAAAATGAATAAAACATCAAAAATAGTTAAACATTTGCATAACAGCACACTGAACAGTACAGGATGCTGTACTGCATCTGGATCTGTTTGCCCACTGTTTCACGGAATGTAGTTTCTACCTGTTGCCGTGCGTCTCTTGTGTTGAATTACTTAATTGTGTCTATGTGTCTCTCACAGTCTGTTGACAAAGGCATGTGTGTGTGTGTATTTGTGTTCGCGTTTATGTGTGTGTGTGTGTGTGTGTGTGTTTGTGTGTGTGTATCACTCACATTCTGCTTGCCCACTATATTATGGAAGGGCAGTTCTGGACTCCAGGTGCCTTCAGTAAAAGTGGTGGTAGATGCTCTATGATCTGATTGGTTGGTGGCCTCCCTCATGATGTCCTCGGGCAGGGCGAGCAGGCTCTCCTCTGGCTGTTTGATCAGGAACGTCTCTATGTTGTGTCTGCGCAGGAAATCGTTCCGGTCCTTTCCGTGGCCCGCCTCTACCTCATAGTCTCCGTTTAAGCAGTCCAGAGCCGCTTTAGAGATGTGGATCCGCCTGCAGAGGACAGCACCAAAAAACACAACACAAACTGAAATACTGTTAAATTACTATTCTTGTTGAGTTCAGTCAGGTTCACGCATTATTTCTCAAATGTTTATCTGGCACTCAAATGTTTATATGTTCAGGTTCAAATTTCTCAGCTGGGTTTCTCAAAGCTTATCTTCTACTTTTTGTCTTGCTTTTACTTCGACTTGGATTTCCTATCTAGTTTATTATTTGTCTCCACTTTTATTATCTTAAATAATTATTAACACTAAGCAGTCTCAGTTGTTGCTAGGAATAACAAAAGTAATTTCATATTCATTATTTCTCACTCACTGATCACTGAAACAAGCAAAATTTGTTTCCAACATGCAGATTATAAAGTTTTAATGTTACCCAGTTTTGTATTTGGCAATAGAACAGAAAACAGAATGTAGGCCTGACTAAAGCTATACAACACATGCTCATGGCCCACAGATCTAGCTAAAAACTCTAACACTATGACAGTAACATCAATCAGAGCTTTGAACAACATGTTCCCCCAACACTTCTTAACCTGTCCCTTACATGTTCAAACAAATAAACAGGTATTGGATTAAAATTGAAATACACACACAGAAATGGGCCTGTGCAATGTGCATGTATCCGCAGTGTGTGTGCGTGTGGTTACCCAGGTATCCCTCCAGACTCGAGTTTGTTGGCGATGTCGACGTCCCAGGACCAGACGTCAAACTGCCACTTCCGCAAGCCCAAAACTCCACACAAGACTGAGCCAGAGTGAATCCCAATACGCATGTCGATGTCGTGCTTTGTACGTGAACGCACATACCTACATACACACACATATAATACAATACACAACAGAAGAATAAAACATGCAACCATATGAGAAAAGTGGGCAGAGATCTACTGCATAACAAAAACAAAATTTCAGTTCAAGAAATTACAGGTGTAACAAAATAAAGGGATAAGGCTCTATTAGGATGGGATTAGTTTTACATGGGGAAGTCGAGTAATGTAATTATTACCACTGTTTCTCACTGTTTGATTTTAGTCCCATCCAAATTCACCACATCAGTCATTTTTATGTGTGCTCCTGCGTCAGTGAAGCTGATATATATTGTACTACCTTAAGTGTTTGACTTTGAATATCAAAACATGAAATGACAAAAAAAAAAGTTTTCAACTTTAATGTTGACTGTGAGCTGTAAATTCCCAAGCTAATGAGGCACTGCATTTAATTAAAACAGTTTGGTAGATGGGTAGGGTGAATTATGATTAAATTTGAATGTCTGCAAATATTTTCTACTTATGAGCAGCCAAATTCATTGCTTAGGAAGTTTTCTTAGTGTGAGCAATGCTTAAATCAAATAGCCACTCCCATCTCTATAATTTATACTTTATAATTTCTATTTCCTATCCTGTGCTAATTGGCCCCATGGTAACTATCCCACAGAAAACTAATCCTGTCTGAATAGTACTTGAGGCTATCCTCAGCATCAAGTAAGTAAAAGTACATTTCAAGAACTGGTTAATGTGGAACTTCAGCTTAATGTCATGCTTAGAATGACTGAGAACATTGTCCTAAACTGTTTTAGACAGGCAGAGTTACAATAGAGGATATAAGCTGTCTTCCAAAAGCTAAGGAGGGTCCTCAGTAGGACTGTCCTCTGCAGGCTCCTTGTTTGTATTACATGATGCAAAATGGAGTAGCGCTCCCGAATTTCGCTGTAAATGAATAATCTTTCTGACTGGAACAGGCTTAGATGATGCAATGGTCAAGAAAATTGGTCTGGCTCCACTCTTTCCTCTATTCAACCCCATCTTTCTATCTTTCTTCCTAGTTCTGCCCCTTAGTTATTTCTGTCACCTGTGTATAGTTTGTAGCCCCTCCTTTCCAGGTGTTTCTGGTCTTGTCTTTGGGTTTAAACAGTCCTCTTTTTTCAGTGTGTCCTTGACGGGTCTTGTGCTGTTTTATTTATTGTTATGTCTGTGGTTAGCTTTCACATGCCATGTCTGTCCACAGTCCTGCCCCAGTTTCCTTCCCTGGCCCCTGTTCTTTCCCAGTTTCCACTGCGAATTTGGCTCTGCCTCTGAAGAATCAGTTTTTGGGAGCTGCTATGGGAGCTGCACGTCAGGAGGGTGTTCTGTCACAGGTGCTCTGTCCAGTCTCCACCCTCTCCTGCCTTTACTCCTGCCATGTCTCCTCTCTAGCCTGTCTTTGCCCAAATCCTGCCTTCCCAATCAGTGGTATTATGAGATTATGACACCGCTCTGGGCAAGTGTGCTCACAGCCCCCTAGTGTGTTCACTAGTGTGTATGTGGCGTTTCACTGCACGGATGGGTTAGATTGTGAAGGTGAAATTTCCCCATTGTGGGACTAATAAGGGTCACTTAATCTTAACATAAAATGTGGCTACTCAATAATATTGTAACCATTTGCTGAATGTGTGCGTATTGTGTGTTTTTTAGATGCTGCCTAGTTTGAATGCAGCTCTCAGTCTCTATAGTAATATGTGACGATAATAGAAACAGTCTAAAACTTGATGTTATGTTATGATGTTGTTCTTAAACAAGCAGAGATGTAAACTTCTTTTTATTGTCCAATAAACTAAACTAAACAGAGCTGACAGTAACTGATGACAACTGAGACTGACATTAGTGCATAGACAAGGGCCCACTGGGCACAAGGGTCTTTGGAGGCACCCACACTCCGAAAAATAAATAAATTAATTAAAAAAATCAAAAAGACTCAAAAAGTGACATTAAACAAAATTTCATGTGTGTGTAATTATAACAGTTTTGTGTAAGACCAAAAGACTTTTGTGTAAGATTTTAATCAAACTTTCTTCTCTTTTTCTTTCAAGTCAAATAATGTACATAATGTACTAATATAATGTAATAAAATGCCAAAATCCTATCTGAATAACATTCTATAATATTTCTTTATTTACTACAGGTATTTTATCATGTGTACATATTCAACGGCTACTCATTTATTTAAGGTTTACAATATATCTGCAGTGGATTGTCTCAACTATTGGAGGCCACTTGAACCTGAGACGACATCTTAGTGCCAAGATCATCTTAACTGGTAGAGAGAATTTCTACCAATTAAGAATCATCAACCAAGCCCCGGTCAGTAATCTATCCCTGTATAAAAGATGTTATGTAACAACATATAAATGCTTTCCCAAAAGACTACATTACAGCATAATAGATTGTTTCTGTATGTTTTTGCATCTCTTCATTCATAATTATCACTGATTAATTATTAAACTACCGATGTATGTAATTACCTAATTAATTAAGTCATTCAGGCTTCCAGTCATTCACCCAGAATGTGACCATAATTACAGTGCTTGTAGCTCAGTGTGTGTATGGGGGTGGCTCTGCAGGTTGAGTGGTGTGTTTGACCGTAAGTGCACCCTTTGCCCTGACTGAAACAGCTCTGTAACCAAATATTGCACTTTTCCTCTAATGCACGTACACACACACACACGCTCGCTCGCTTACACACCTGCTTCAGAAGTGCCTCTCATCCAACATCCTGCCTCTACAGATAATCAACAGGACTACTCTAACACACTTTCTCTCTCTCGTGCGCGTGCTTTCTCTCGTTCAGTGTCCCTAAATGCTTTCCTCTGTGTGTCAAAGGGTTCTTTGAGACAATACCATAGAAGAACAATACAATTTCTGGTTCCCTAAAAACACCTTTCAGTGGATGGTTCTTTAAAGGAATACTTGGGCTTTTTCAGCCTATTCTTTCTGTTACATCTGTAGCATACAGTTGAACAAGAAATTGATTTTTTTTTTAAAGTGAAACTCACTTATAACAGTCAATGAGCAGGGCAATGTGTTTTCAGTCAACAGGGTTTCTGTTCTTTTAGTACAGGGAAAAATGCTGCTGCTACTGTATGCTACAGATGCGGACTGGTTTGAATGCAGCAGTTCTCCTATTAAACCACTTATTAAAAGCCTATCAAGCAGCCTATTGGCCATTGTGAAATGGATCAATTTGCGCTTTCTGTGTGCCATGTTAACCATATATATATATATATATATATATATATATATATATACTTATCAGGCATAACATTATGACCACCTCCTTGTTTCTATAGTACCTGCTGTGTGAGGGTCCTGACCACTGAAGAACAGGGAACAGTAAAAGGGGGCTAACAAAGTATGCAGAGAAACAGATGGACTACAGTCTGTAATGGTAAAACTACAAAGTGCACCTATATAGTAAGTGGAGCTGATAAAATGGACAATGAGTGTAGAAACAAGGAGGTGGTCATAATGTTATGCCTGATGGGTGTATGTATATGTGTGTGTGTGTGATTATATAAATTTCTATATGTTCACTATGTAAAAGATGCCTGAGCCTTCCTTTATTGTTGGATGCACTGTGATCTCAGCGTGTGAGCTCGTTCAGAGCACAATCCATATTGGTATGTGCTTATTGTTCGTTTGTTTAATCAAGTGAGGACAAAACATGAGAAAGGTATTTTGTTAGACAAACTAAATCAATCTATGAATCTATAAATTTTTAGCATTGTTAGACCACATTCTTAATATATCAACAATAGCACCAAGAAATCACTTCATTAACAGAGAAAAACAGATTAAATGGACGCATTTTGGAGTCAGTTTTACAGAGATAAGGAACCAAAAGGGGTTAGAAGTTTCTTTTGGCACCTTTGGTTTGAAAAGTGGAGGTCTACAGTTATTGCTGTTTATAGCTGTTTGCTGTTTCAGAAGCAATTTGAAGGCTATTGTGCTATTGTGGCGTTTACATGTTGGTCCATGTGTTGCTCTGATGTTACCTGATGGTTTTGATCATGCTCAGACCCATTTCCACACAGCAGTGGGCATGGTCTGGTCTGGGTTCAGGAAGCCCTGAGACGCAGTAATAACAATCACCCAGAATCTTTATCCTCAGACAGTGGTGCTCCTGACAGAGAGAGAGAGAAAAAGAGAGAAAGAAGACTCTTTTAGTAACTAATCTTTAGAAGTTCTCCAGATCTCCAGTCTTTTTCACAGAAAAAACAATCTTGTCATATTGACTGTCATATCTTGCTTCCATGCAAAAAAAAAGTCTTGAAGTGGTCAATAGGCCCTTTTCAGATTTCCGCATTTTTTCTGCCAGAAGTAGTCGTTGCAGGGTAACGCTGCTTCCTCTACAGCAATTACAATGGCAATAATGACAAGTTGAGCGTGTACAGATCACTCGAGTATTAGAGCTTGAAGCAAAAACAGCCTTATCTCAGTTTCAGTGGTTTGTCAGCTGAAGATGAGCAGAGGAAAATAGTAAATAAAGAAATAAACTTTGTCAGGCGGAGTTAAAGAACCTCTGTGTCTGCATTTCACCACTGCTGACTAACAAGTTAATGTTACACTGAATGCAGTTTGTGCTGTAAAGTTGCTGCTACAGCCACTTTTCAGAGGAACAGTTCATTTTCTCCCTCAAAAATGATCAGCAAATGATAGCGCGAGTGCTCGGCAGAGAGTAGACGTTCATTCACTGGTGGCGGTGGTTCCACCTTAAATAGTGCCTGAGCCACCAAAATGTAACTGCTGCACCATTTAAGGCCGAACGGGAAAATCTGAACAAGAAGCTGACTTCAGCCTTGTGACTTTTTAGTGTTTGACAGTTCTTGTTGCAGATTAAACGTATCAGAAAACCAGCTGAGTGATTATAAATGCAAAAGGGAAAACGTCTACAGTGGCGCTATGGACCCTGACGACTCGGCACGCCCCCTTCCTGGGATGTGAACGTGTTTAGCATTTGCCACTTCACCTACTTTATTGTTACTGAGCTGTTTCAGCATCTCCAGCTAATATGGCTTATCTAGAGTTTTGGTTCTAGTTATTTTCACCTGTGCATCAATTTATCACTCTATGGATGTTAACTTAGCTTAAGTTATTGTACTCTGATAGCTACAAAGGAGTTTTCTACAAATCATTTATATCCTTTATTTAGTCCTTTATTGTTGTCTGTTTGGTTCTCCAACAATTCTGGACACATCCTCGAATTTCAATCTTGGCAACTACGACAAAAATAAAGTTACACACCTTTCTGTGGTAAGTTGAAGTGATGTGAATGACTGTATTTCTGAGGTTAAGACTGTCTGAAAGGCAATAGCGGAACTTGTTTTACCCAGCGGTTACGAATGTAAATCAGTGGCATAACTAATGGGGTGGAGGGTGAGTAGGTGGAGCAACCACACTGGGGCACATGGCTGAGGCACATGGGGGGCCTATTAGGACCAGGACCCTTAAAATCTTAATTGGGCCTCTCATATAGATACTGACACAACCGAACACCAATAAATCACAGAAAGATCAAACTGCTTCAAATCATAGCTCACCAGTTAGCTTCCATCAACACTACACAGATGACACTAACTTCTAATTATCTCCCAATTATAGTACACCTCATCCAAGACTGTTTTCAAACAGATCATTCACAACCTGCACAATATTTTCATTATTTGCAACTCTAAAATCTTAGATAGCCAAACCTCTATGGTGATGTTACCCTGCTGAAAAAAGAGCATTATAATTAAAATCTGATGGTTTCACTTTCTAATAGGAATTCGCTTAATGATTACCATTAAAGACCCATTGGGAAACGATCAAATGCATCTGGAAACAGTCCCAGGACACCTGTTAAACCATTGGAATCTTTTAAATTGTGATATCAACCCATCAGAAAAACACAAAATACCATTACCATTACTGACTATTGCACACCACCAAGAACCAACAGAAACCTTTAATGGTTTCTATTATTTTTTTCAGCAGGGCAGTGGGTGGAGTAGGATCTTGACAGATTTAGCTTGAGACATAACAATACCAAGCAAACTAGCAAATTACATTAGCATTTTTTTTTATTAATTGATAATAATTTTCATTTTTGGGGCCATTCATTTTGCACTTAACATCTGTATGTTAGCATTCTTTAGTGTAATAGAAACAGTGAACAGACACAGCATTAATGATGATCTCAGTCAGTTGCCCAGGTATCTGTTACTCATGCCTGCTGCTGTGTTTACATGCTCTCACGACTCTGTAAACAACTGCATAGAAACAAAAGACCACACCGGCTGTTAGCACTGCTCATCACCACTAAACACCACACACTGCCACAATTAGCCACGCTGTGAGTCATAATAGCATGCTTCAGCTGTTAGCGCTAAATGCTACAGGCAAATGTAAGAGCACTGTGAGGATGGTATTCGTGACAGCACAGAGGCTTCTGGACAGTGGTCCTCAATTAGAAAAAAAACAAGCTTATAATGCTTTCATCTGAACAATATATTGCCTGGTAGTAGCCCTAGCATGAGAGGACTATTCATATTAATTTCATCTTTCAATAGTAGCTACTTGTGTTTCTAAAACTGACCTATCCATGCACCGTCCACAAGTGCTTTCTTACATAGCAACTGTTGTAAGCTTGGACAATCTTTAAAGATCACTGCATTAGGCCTATTAAACCTATGACAAATTGTGTCTTTTTAATAATTCATTCTAAATTTAGACTAAAAGTATATATATATATATATATATATATATATATATATATATATATATATATATAAACCCAAGGCATTCATTATAAAAGTAATAAGCTGAATATAGACAAAATTATCATTTATCATTTTTAGATTTTTAAATTTCTTTTAAAGAATAGTTGATTTATCATGAGTTTAATTTTTAAATAATACAAAAAACACTACTGAAACACAGAGTTTTAGTCTATTTTAGCCACACCCCTGCATTTTAGAGCAGGAAGTGAGACTGCATCCCTGTCCCTCATGACCACATAGTGAGTAGTTAGATCCCACTGTTTTGAAGTAAATGTGTCCAAAAGTTTGCGAATCAGTGGGTGACACTGAGAATTGACACTACTGAAACACATATCTTCCACAGTTAAGTAAGCTTTTTTTGGATTTTAATGTTTTATGATTTTATGTGTACAACTGTTCAAAGTTGTGTTTGCTAACCTGTACTGGAGTGTCACGTATTCGGCCAGCCAGCCTCCAAACTACGATTCCCAGAATCCTCCGCTTCATCACATGACACCAGGAAGAGCAGCAGCAACCAATCGCCGCTCTAGCTCTCCGGAATACTGATCACTCTCACCTGTGTGTTTGTCATGTGATCTGTTTAGTTTAGTATATTAGCCCGGGCTTAGCATAGGACCTTTGCGAGGTATTGTTTTCTTGAAAACTACTGAGCGTTCATTCTGGTTTTTTGATCTCCCCTGTTATGACCTTGTGTTTCTGGATTGGTTTCTTGGATTTTCGGATTTGCCCTTTTGTACTGTTGCCTGCTTGGATTGATATCTGGTTTTGGACTTTTGCCTGTACTCTGGACTTTGATCTGCCTAGCCCTGTTGTGTTTGATCGCTTTCAGTGTATTTTGCTGTGCCTGTGTACCAACGACAATAACTCTAGTAAAGCTTCATCACTTTTTTACATCTGCGAGCGTCTGCTCTCTGGTCGCACGTTACATGGAGCATAACTAAAGTTCTGCTGAATATTAGGTGAAGTGTTCTGTAGGACTGTCCTCTGACGGCTCTTTATTTATATTACATAATGTAAAACAAAACAGTCCATCAAGACCACTTTGTCACATTTTGACACACAAAATTTAATAGGGAAAATAGTGTTGATATGAATGATAAGCTGGCAAGCAAATCACTAATGTGAATAATGTAAAATGTAGTAGACAAAACAATTTGTATGTGATGAAATGCTGTCCTGTAAGCTAAAACTGTTAAACACACTGAAAGCAGGTGCATTTCACACCCTGCAATCAATTTACACCCTCTTAAACAGATATACAACTAAAGAAACAGTGTGCTATATATGTTACCACGTATGTTTCTGGTCTTTTTAAAGAACGTTTCATCTACCAAAATTTCTCTTGAATTTTCAATGGATCAGATATATATATATATAAGGCATTATGCATGACAGAACACCCTGAAGGGCACTCCTTCAGCCTTTGATGATGTAGCAGTCTACAACTGAAGCCCACCCTGGACCACAGCCTAGCTTTTGGAACACTGAGTTCTCTAGCGGCTCAATTGATTCTGCAAGCTAGTACTCATTAGCATCTTCGCCGTAGCAAGCTTCCCAGCCCATATTTGTTCCAGGATTCTGGAGCTGTCCCAGAGGAAATTCATGTTTCAGTTTAATGCATTAGGGTAATTTAAGAATCATTTCACGTTGATCAATATTAATATGGACATTAACTGTGATGAAATGCTTTAATCGCAAGCTAGCATACGCTAACACTCTACATGCTAAAGTGGATTGTATCCAGAGAGGTTATAAAGGAGGAAAAAGGCCACTGGTTGGAAAATGAATGAGAAAGCTTGCAACACTGAACATGTTGTGCATTTCTGGGGAAAGCCTGGCCTTCAATAAAAAGAGCCAATCTGTTTTTGAAGCAGTAATTTGGCTTTCAGTGTTTAGATTTTAGGTCTGTCCCCATTCAGTGAAGGTAGAAGTCTTAAGCTGTATTACAGAAACGTCTAAAATCTTATCTGTTTAGTCACCATGACAACTTCAGTTAGGACTGAATTTAGGACAGAAGATATTACAGAACAACAGTTCTTAAATTCATAATCTTAATCCTACTCCAGATACTTACAGAAACATCCTAACTAGGCAAAATTTCCTGAATTCTGTCCTAACCTTAAGACAACCCCAGAGGTGTCTTAACTTCTGATTTAACTGCCTTGTTCTATTGTTTTATGCAGTGACAGGCAGCATAGTTCACAGTAACTGGCATAATAAGGTTTCATTTATCTACATTGAAAACTAGCTTTGACTAGTAAGGTTTTAAAAATCCCAGACACTGCACACAAGATCTCCACTGTCCCCTCTTTTTGTCTTTGTGTGTTAATGTTGATGAAAACTTATCAGATAAAATGTTACA